TCCGATAGCTCACAAAATCCAGCAACCTAATACTGATCGACGGCAGTATGAATGGCCGGAAGCGCCTACTCCAGTGTCTCCGAACGTAAAGAGCGCGCAGAGCACTGCAGACGCACGGCGGAAACGCCGAGGCTGCGCTGGGCCGCATTCCCTTCCGGCCACGAGGAGCGTGACTACGGCCCCTGGCGGCTGGAGGTTGCCTTGAGCCGGCAGAGGGCGTCGAGGGCTGGTCTAGGAGGGAAAATGTCCTGCAAGAGGGAGATTCCAATAAATCCAGTTAATAGCACTGTCGCACTTCAGGAGGCCGAGGCGGGTGGATCACCTGAGGTCAGGAGTTCAAGACCAGCCTGGCCAACATGGTGAAACTCTGTCTACTAAAAATTCAAAAGATTAGCTGGGCATGGTGGCCCGTGCCTGTAATCCCAGCTACTCTGGAGGCTGAGGCAGGAGAATCGCTTGAGCCCAGGAGGTGGTGGTTTCAGTGAGCCGAGATCGCGCCATTGCACTCCAGCCTAGGCAACAACAGCGAAACTCCATCAAAAAAAAAAAAAAAAAAAAAGAAAGTACTGTCACCATCACGCTTCTGAACAGCAGGGCACCGAGAGTACAGCACCTAATATAAATTCATTACTGAACGAAAAGAAGTTCTGAGATAAACCTAAATGATTATGCTGATTCTGTTCCAACACCAGGGAGTCTTTGGTATTACTTTTTTTTTTTTTGAGACGGAGTTTCGCTCTTGTTGCCCAGGCTGGAGTGCAGTGGCGCGATCTCGGCTCACCGCAACCTCTGCCTCCTGGGCTCAGGCAATTCTCCTGCCTCAGCCTCCTGAGTAGCTGGGATTACAGGCATGTGCCACCATGCCCAGCTGATTTTTTTTTTTTGTATTTTTAGTAGAGACGGGGTTTCACCATGTTGACCAGGATGGTCTCGATCTCTTGACCTCGTGATCCACCCGCCTGGGCCTTCCGAAGTGCTGGGATTACAGGCGTGAGCCACCGCGCCCGGCCGTCTTTGGCATTACTTAATGTACCTGAAGAAAATCACACATGGGCCGAGGCCAGGTTCATGCCTGTAATCCCAGCACTTTGGAAGGCTGAGGCGGGCGGATCACTACGTCGAGATCGAGACCATCCTGGCCAACATGGTAAAACTCCGGCTCTACTAAAAATACAAAAATTAGCTGGGCATGGTGGCTCGCGCCTGTAGTCCCAGCTACTCGGGAGGCTCAGGCAGGAGAACTGCTTGAACCCGGGAGGCAGAGATGCAGTGAACCAAGATCGCGCCACTGCACTCCAGTCTGGCAGCAGAGAACTCCATCTCAAAAAACAAACAAAAAAAAAATCACACAATGTAGAGGATTATTTTCACTTTAAGTTTCGATCTATAAAAGAAACTTTTCAATCTTGGTCTTTCTCATCAACTCATCGAAAAAAAAATTTTTTTTTAAATTTTTTTGAGAGGGAGTCTTGCTCTGTCGCCCAGCCTGGAGTGTAGTAGTGCGATCTCAGCTCACTGCAACGTCTGCCTCCTGGGTTCAAGCGATTCTGTGCCTCAGCCTCTCCAGTAACTGAGATTACAGGCACGCATCACCACCTCCCGTTAATTTTTGTATTTTTAGTAGAGACGGGATTTCCTTATGTTGGCCAGGATGATCTGAACTCCTGACCTCAAGTGATGTGCGTGCCTTGGCCTCCCAAAGTGCAAAGTCCTGGGATTACAGGTGTGAGCCTCATCAAAATTTAACACAGACACTCCCCCTTCCTCTTTCAGCTTTCAGGATGCCAAGATCACCTGGCCTTTTTTCTAATCTCACTAAACACTCTGTTTTGTTTTTTTAAGATAAGGTCTGCTCTATTGCCTAGCCTGGAATGCAATGGTATGATCAGGGCTCACTGCGACCTTAACCTTCCTGGCTCAAGCAATCCTCCCGCCTCAGCCTCCTCAGTAGCTGGGACCACAAGAGTGTGCCACCATGCCCAGCTATTTATTTATTTATTTAGAGATGGAGTTTCACTCTTGTTGCCCAGGCTGGAGTGCAATGGTGCAATCTCGGTTTACCGCAACCTCTGCCTCCTGTTTTCAAGCAATTCTCCTGCCTCAGCCTCCTGAGTATCTGGGATTACAGGAATGCGCCACCACATCTGGCTAATTTTGTATTTTTAGTAGAGACAGGGTTTCTCCATGTTGGTTAGGCTGGTCTCGAACTTCTGACCTCAAGTGATACACCTGCCTCAGCCTCCCAAAGTGCTGCCATTACAGGCATGAGCCACTGCGCCCAGCCTTATTTTTTATTTTGTAGAGAAGAGGTATTACTACGCTGCCCAGGCTGGTCTCCAACTCCTGGGCTCAAGAGATCCTACTGCCATGGTCTCCCAAAATGCTGGGTTTACAGCCCCAGAGCCTCCATGACCAGCCTCTAACTATTCTTTCTAAATCTCCTTAGCTGACTCTTCCTTCTGTATGGAGCCGATACAAGTTAGAGTGCTTCCCGGCTTGTGGCTGTGGTCTCTTTATGTGTACTTTTTAATTTGTATCTGTGGTTGAGACTTCATCCCTGATCAACAGAACTCTTGGATATTGTACGACAATACTTATCAAAGTTTAATGTGTGTAGGACTCACCTGGGGAAACTTTAAAATGAAAATCTGATTCAGCTGTTGTGGGGCCTGAAATTCTGCATTTCTAATAAGCCTTCAGTAGATGAAGCTGCTCCTACTCTATGAGTAACAAGGCTAAAATGGGTATTTGTGTGTTGCCTTCTCAACATCTATTCCCTTGTCTTTCCAAATGTTCCTAATATTTGTGTGGTGATCCCTGTGGTCCTAAGAAAGCTGACTCCACCTTTTATAATAATTACATTCCATTACTTGTTCATAGTAGGCTTGGGATCTAAGTTAATCCTGTCAGACCTTTGGAGGGAATGCTCTTTTCTTTTGGTTATGAATGGAGAGGGAGTAACCCCTGGAGCTGTTGGGGTTACCAGAAGAAGAACCAATTTCAGGACATAGTTTCGTTTGTTTGCTCATTTAGACAGGATCTTGCTTTGTTGCCCAGGCTGAGGTCCAATGGTGTGATCCTGACTCACTGCAGCCTCAGTCTCCTGGGATCAATTGATCCTCCCACCTCAGCCTCCCAAAGTGCTGGGATTATAGGGAGACACTGTGCCCAGCCAAGGACAGAGTTTCTAAAAATACCAAAACCTGTGATGTGATCAATGAGCCCCTAGATAATAAATAATGCCTGATGTTGCTATTTAGAATTAAATAGCCCTGTGGTACAGGCCTATAGTCTCACTTACTCAAGAGGCTGAGGCAGGAGGATCACTTGAGGTCAGGAGTTCAAGGCCAGCCTGGGCAGCATAGCAAGACCCCATCTCTTAAAAATGAAAAAAAAAAATTAAATAAAATTAAAAATTCAGCTCCTCAGACTGGGTGCAGTGGTTCATGCCTGTAATCCCAGCACTTTGGGAGGCTGAAGTCGGGAGTTCGAGACCAGCCTGACCAACCTGGAGAAACCCTGTCTCTGCTAAAAATACAAAATTAGCTGATCATGGTGGCACATACCTCAATTTTAGTAACTACATTTCAAATACTCATGTATCTATGGCTATCCTTTTGAATAATGCAGATATATGAATATTTCCGTCATTACAGAAAGTGTGATTAGACAGTGCTTCTTGAGGACCATGTTTGTTTCCTTCTTAGCATTTAATTATTTGTTTACTTAATTATTGTCAAATACAAGAATGTAAACCAAAAGCAGGGAATTATGTCTTTTCTGTTCACTACAGAATCTCCAGCATCTAGAATAATGCCTTGTATGTAATATCCCCTCAATGAATATTTGTGAAATAACTGAATGCCTCGGATGGTCACAGTGGCTCACACCTATAATCCCGGCACTTAGGGAGGCCCAGGTGGGTGGATCACGTGAGGTCAGGGGTTCAAGACCAGCTGGCCAACATGGTGAAACTCCATCTCTACTAAAAATACCAAAATTAGCCAGACGTGGTGGCAGATGTCTGTAATCCCAGCTACTCAGGAGGCTGAGGCAGGCGAATGGCTTGAACCCAGGAGGCAGAGGTTGCAGTGAGCCAAGACTGTGCCACTTTACTCCAGCCTGGGCAACAAAGTGAGACTCTGTCTCATAAATAATAATAATAATAATAATAACGGAATGCCTCCTCTATTAGGATGTATGCTCCTTGAGGAAGGAGACTTCTGTGTATTGTTCTCTGCAGTATCCCCATTACTGAGACTTCTGTGTATTGTTCTCTGCAGTATCCCTCTCTATGTCTTGAAGGCCCTTCCTACTTTGGACTGATAAAAGAAAATAACTTGTATTTGAGGAATGAGAGTTTTTAAACTTTATCAAGCCTAGAGAAACATTAAAATAAGACAAACATCTCATTCATCTATTCAAACTGTTTGTGGTCAGGCCTGGTGGTTCACACCTGTAAATCCCAGCACTTTGGGAGGCCAACATGGGAGGATCACTTAAACCCAGAAGTTTGAGACCAGCCTGGGCAATATATTGAGACCCCATGTCTCTACTAAAAATACAAAAAAATAGCTGGGCATGGTGGTGCACGCCTGTGGTCCCAGCTACTCAGGAGGCTGAGGCAGGAGCACTGCTTGAGTCCGGTAGGTAGATGCTGCAGTGAACGGAGTTGCTGCCACTGCACTCCAGTCTGGGCAACAGAGCCAGACCCTGCCCCCCCAACACGAAACTGTTTGCTATTATTACAAGTAGCTGTAAAATACCTAATAATGTCACACCAGACAGTAAACCCCATATGCTATAGCTTAACAATGCATAGCCAATCACTAATCAATGTTATTTGTGTAAACCAATGAGAATCCCTGGAAAAAAAAAAAAGCAACTTTGTATCAGCTCACTCCTTGTCCAGGTTTTTTTTTTTTTTTTGAGAGGGAGTTTCACTCAAGTTACCCAGGCTGGAGTGCAATGGCGCGATCTTGGCTCACTGCAACCTCCACCTCCTGGGTTCAGGCAATTCTCCTGCCTCAGCCTCCTGAGTAGCTGGGATTACAGGCACGCACCACCATGCCCAGCTAATTTTTTGTATTTTTAGTAGAGACGGGGTTTCACCGTGTTGACCAGGATGGTCTCGATCTCTTGACCTCATGATCCACCCGCCTCGGCCTCTCAAAGTGCTGGGATTACAGGCTTGAGCCACTGCGCCCGGCCTGGGTTTTTAGCCTTTAAAAACTTGGTTGTAACAAAGGCCAAAAGAGCTTATATTCAAGGTTGCTTGTGTCTGAGTCTTCCAGGCAGCTGTCCACAAAAAATCACATTTTGTGCTTCAGCCTCTTCCTTTTAGGTTGATGGGGACCTTCCTACTTCTTAAGCCATCCCCTTTCCCTTCAAAAGCATAAGAATATTTGCGGATGGGTGCAGTGGCTCATGCCTGTAATCCCAGCACTTTGGGAGGCCGAGGTGGGTGGATCACCTGAGGTCAGGAATTTGAGACCAGCCTGGCCAACGTGGTGAAACCCCATCTCTACTAAAAATACAAAAATTAGTTTGGCGTGTTGGCGGGTGCCTATAGTCCCAGCTACTCAGGAGGCTGAGGCAGGAGACTCATTTGCACCAAGGAGGCAGAGATTCCAGTTAGCCAATATCACACCACTGCACTCCAGCCTGGGTGACAGAGCGAAAATTTGTCTCAAGAAAAAAAAGTTGAGTTCTTGCAATTCATGAAGCTTATTTCCTCTCCAGCCTTTCATACATGCCTTCTTTAACCTGGCTAACGCCTACTCATCCTCTCTCAAGTATGTGGGGCCAGCATCATTATTTGTATGGTAGTGGTGTGCTTCCCAGATGGCAAATTGAAATGTCGTTGTCAGTTGATAAATAGCTGTATTTTGTCTTTATTTTCTAGCTCAAAATTTTTTAGGATTTTTACTTTCTCATAGTAAAAAACTGTCAAGAGTCCTGAAATAAAGTCAACAAGAGTGGAGCAACAAATAAGACCTTAATTTCCTGCTAGCAGGAGGATTAATCTGAAAGTGAGATTGTCCTGTCTTCTGTGATTTGGCAGAGGTTTTATCTGCTGCAGGCATTTAGACTGGTCACAAGAAAGAAAAGGAAGAAGGAAATGGGAATGTAATACATAAGGCAATGCAACTATTCCATTATCAGTTTCAGAAGCAGATGTCCTACTGATAAGCCAGGGCAGAAAAGTATATACTGCAGTTTAGAGTCAGCAAGGAAAACAAGAAACTTAAACAAGTCCAGGAAATTACATTCATCGTTTTGAGTTTAGCAGGAGAACGTGGTCTTGTAATTCTTGCCATAGGGGGTGTGAAAAAGACATTCACCACTTATGTAACCATAATACTAAGCACCATGATGTGTCATCTGGGTTACAGCATTTATTTCTAGCACTGGCACAGAGCAAAGCTGAAACAAAGCTCTCCCCCAGGACTTTTTTGGGAGCTCTAAGGAACGAGGACCTCTCTTTTCACTGAAACCAGTTTGCTGTGAGCTTATGTAATTTCTGCCAAGTTGTCAGGAAAGCATACTTGAGAATGAAGCTAATACAGATGAAAGAAGAGCTGGACATTGTAGAGTGTCCTGCTGACATCATCTGACATCCTCAGGTTTCAGGATAACCTGAGGTCAGCTGCTCCCCTCCAGCTCCCGGTTATGGTAGCAATACTGTTGTTGCTTTTTTTTTTTTCTTAAAATATTGCTTATATGAGTTTGAGGTGGACCAGTCATTTTCTAATTAGAGAGACCTGACTAACATTTTGTTTGGATTATCAAACACTTTCTAAGTTGAATGTCTTCCTACAGTTATCTGAAAAAATATTTTCTTGCTAGTCTCAGACCACCTTTGAACTAAAACTTGTGATTCTTTCTAGTGATCTATAATTCTTTACCAGTTCAATGCTAGGCTTCTCATTGACTATTATTTGTAAAACTTTTAACATCTAAAAATATTTATTAATTCATTTAAATATTTATTAATAAAATGCTTCAGAAATAGACATGTTAATAGTTATATTTCCAAATTATAACATTATATTTTTCTTTTTTACAATGTTTTAAACTTTTATTTTAGTTTTGAGGGTACACGTAAAGGTTTGTTACTAGGTAAACATGTGTCATGGGGGTTTGTTGTACATATTATTTCATCACCCAAGTATTAAACCCGGTATCCAATAGTTATCTTTTCTACTTCTCTCCCTCCTCCCACTCTTCCTCAAAAAACTTGAATTCTTTACTCTTTCCTGAACGGACTGTAAGTTCAAAGTAATTTAAATAATAATGGATTATTATTTAATCAGATCATTATTGTTTCTTAGTGGACAACCAAATTAAATGAACCAAATTCCAAAGCTCATAGATAGAATGCTCTAAAATAAAACTATTGATAGAAGGAAAAACAAATATGATGTGATATCACAGAGTAAGATTTAATCGATCACACTACAAATTGAGACTACTGGTATTCATAAATCAGAAGTGAAAAATATCCTTCAAAATGATAAAGAATAATGCTCAAGAAAGTTTGTTTTTTTCCAGTGAATGCAAACTATTTTTATTTTTTTCATAGAAACTGATTATATATAGTTTTAGAAAAGAAAATAAGGCCAGGAATGGTGGCTTATGCCTGTAATCCCAGTACTTTGGGAGGCTGGGTGGTCACCTGAGGTCAGGTGTTCAAGATCAGCCTGATCAACATGGTGAAACCCCGTCTTTACTAAAAATACAAAAAAATTAGCTGACGGTGGTGGTGGGCACCTGTAATCCCAGCTACTTGGGAGGCTGAGGCAGGAGAATTGCTTGAACCCAGGAGGTGGAGGGTACAGTGAGCCGAGATTGCACCATTGCACTCCAGCCTGGGTGACAGA